GTATATAACAGCTTAGATCTATCCATAGTGCAATAAAATGTTGAGTCATTAATCAGTGTTACATGTTTTATTTGTCTATACTGCTCTGCTATATACTGCATTGAGCACTCGTGTCTGTATGATCTGGTTTAAGCCAACTATATATACACACACATATATATATATATATATATATATATATATATGTAAATCATCAAAGAAAGGTAAATACACTGCACTTACCTTTCTTTGATGATTTATATATCATTTAACAGTGTTAACGGCTATCTTGATTTATATTATATATATATATATAAATGTATATATATACACATAAATAATTACATATATATACATAAATATCTATATATATATATTATATATATATATATATATTCTCTCTCAAGGTCACCTATATTTAAAAATTGGATATTTTGTGTTATTCTTGATCGATACACACTTCTGCTCATTCATCTGAATCCTTTATTGTATGCCTACACGCTTCGTAGACGATATGCTTCAGAAAAAAATATCGTTGTGTGAGGTAGCTTTTTTTACATTAATCGTTAATCGTTTAAAATGGACATTTCCGGAGTGTCAATCAAACATAACAACTGCCCAATGAGAACAGGTCCAGGAACGCGCGTGGTGACCTAAACAACAATATCCAAGGGACTGAGCTTAGCAAAAAGGTCCCTTGATTTTTTTTTTCTTGGCTACCATTTCTTTACCCTCTTCATTACAGTACAGTAATATACGGCTGTAGAATAATAATTTTCGATGTTTGAAAAGTGTGTGAAAATAATTAACAAAATAAGAACATTTTGAGCTTGAAATCGGCCAAAAATAAGAACACTGAGCCTGGACTTTACTGGTTCTCATAAAAAGAAGAGAAGTGTAGAGCTATTATAACAATAATATTATCATTATAACTCTATGCTTAAGACTCACCAACACAGTCGCCGCATCGATCAAGGTATGCCGTACCGTTACATGTTCCAGCACAGTCCCACATTTCTATATATCCGATTCTCTTCCTGCACATTCCGCATTTATCCATGCCGAAATTTTGCGAGCGACGCGTCCGTCCTTCAACGCATTCGCCGCATTGGTTCGTCGTCGCGGCGCCGTTACATTCTCCAGCACAGTCGACAACGGCCTGTCCGTTACATATACCGGCGCAGTCAAATTGAGCGTCGCCGTTGCAAACACCGGTACAATCCACAAGTCCACGGCATATTTCTGAAAGTTTTCAATAATAATTGTGTAATAATTTGCTAATGTGGTTTTAGGTAATGAACTGCAAATTAATACAAAGAGTACTCACAATTGATGATACAGTACGTTAGCTGTCAAGTGTTAAGAAAAGCCAATTAATAATTGTGAGCTAAGGATGTTAAATGAAATTGTTACTTATTAAAGCAAATTTCTCTTCACTTATCTTTCCATCTCTTAGAACATTACACGCATGAGTACACTGCATTACTTTCCACGCGCCCGTGAAGTTAATTATAATGATATAATAATAAACAATCATTACATTGTTGGTAGTTGGTTGTTTATTATATTTTTTTTAACTTACCAACTGGTTCTTGTGTCATTGCGGTGACAAGAGCTTCACAGAATCCTGAATAGTCTTCAAAACCAGTGATGTATTCAAAAGTTGGTTCGAAATTATGTTCTTCTTTGTACCACGACATCCACGAATATCGCATATACGAAGATGAAGAAGAGTCAGTGAAGAAATCAGTTAGAATATCAAACGCAGATGAGACAAACAGTTTACATCTCTCGACGTTACTTATGAGACCCAGCCCTCTTTCGCGCAGCAAGACTTGCAGATCATGCACAGCAAGATTGCCTTGATCCTCGGCTTCTAAGATTGCATCGCATGTACCAGCTATATTACCAAATCCTGTGAGGATTCCAATTATATTATCGCCTTCAGTTATCAAACTGACAGCATGTAACTCATTGCCAACAGCGTAATCGTAGTTGGTCCAGCTATGAGGTCTGGCAAAGAACGATGATTCGGGCGATATCATGTTGATGATTTCATCCCAGCTTTGACACACACCAATAATTACACCCCATACATTCCTCAAGGCTACGTCGATGGCTTCGGTAATCATTACTTTTGGTGATTTGTCGCCATTTATTATGTGATCAACATTCGGGCACACGTCCAGGTCTTCGTCGTAACCAACAACAGTCATGAGATCTTCAAGCAGATCATCAAAATCAAGTGGCCGTAAGCCGACAGGAAAATCTTCGCCGTAGTATAATGGGACGAGGGTTTGGATGCATTTGTCTTCTGTAGATTGTAAGTCTCCATCCTCGATAGCATCACATATCATATCAATACCATTGACATTTAGCAACCTCAGAGCTGGCTCCAAGTGACTGCAGATGATGTTGTAAACACCCAGACCGTTGTCTTGACGCTTTATTTCGCCAATGATTCCAATGAATTGGTCAAAGGTCACGTAAGGTAGGAACACACTGCCTTGTAGGATGTTTTCGTCCAAATCGAACGAGCTCGGTAACTCACTTGGGAATTCTGGGTAGTCAAATTGCACGTTAGCCGTCGTCACATCCATCGCTTCAGCTAACCTCCGGCACGCATCACTGGGAGCATAGCCTGTTAGCTCTTCGACAGGAAGCCGAAGACCTTGCAGATCAAAGTGAGCAACGAATCTCTCACAAAGGGACGCATCGTGGAATATGTTATAGAGCGTGTCTGTGAAACGGGCAGCCAAATCGTTTTGCAATTCTCCAGATTGATGCCACAAGAGGTCATAATTCCAACTAGTAGCATTAATGACAGCCGAGCACATTTTATAACTATCCCTAAAATTACCAAGGAAGACGAACGCCTCCTTCAGGTAGTCTAGTACCGGTATCTCAGCATCATCACCATTATCAATCTCACCATCACCCTCACCCTCATCTTCGAATTGTGGGCCTAGTGTTGTTAGAATGCTATATCCACAGCCAACGCAGTCCTCATCCATAATGTGATCATAGCAGTCACTATTGCGAGAATACATGACGTTAATGAAGAATTGGTGAAGAACGTTAGTAATCTGTTGGAAAACAAATTGAAAAAGTTCGAAGCCAAGGCATAGATAATGATTGATGGCAACGTTGTGCTTTAAACACAGTCTAAATAATATCGTGACACCACACTCCCCAGATGGAGAGGGCAGTTAACGTCAGAGTATACGCATTGAACCTATATAGGGGTCATTCCGGCTCAAATCAACCACTATGCAGATGTGACCCCCCCCCCCTTGGGTTTTCCATTAAAAAATTCTGAAAATATCTTTCCATGTCAAAAGAAAGAATCCAAAATTTCAATTTCCAAGTGGTTTTTAAGATATGACATTTTGAAATTTAGGTACCACGCCCCTTTTTCATTCCAGTAATGGCTCCTTTGACTTTGTACGGTTTAAAGCTACTGGAATAACGAAGATAAAAAGTTGTAAACTGCTACATAGACTGATATTTGGCCCCTTTTTCAAGAAATACCATTCTGCATTCAAATTTGGGTAGCATATTTTATTAGTATGTTATACGCCCCCAAAAATCTCCCGAAACATTGCTCAAAAATAGATTTTCGCTTTTTCGGAGGGCCATATCTTATTATTATATAAGTAAGGAAGTTAAAATTAAACATGTGATGAATATGCTTATAATACTACATATAGGCCTAAGTTTGCAGGTAATTAGAGCAATAATGAAGGTATGATGGGGTCCCGAATATGGTTGCAGGACCTTTCTCCCTAAAAACACCCCCTATAATGACCCACCGAATGACACCGTGGACACCTAATATTAAATGTGAAATATATACCAGTTATACAGATACACATATCATCATTGTAAGTAGAAAGTTTAAACTTAGTTTCTTAACTCCTTCAGTGTGAACTGATTTTTTTAAAATAGACAGATTTTAATGTATTCTAAATATCAGGTCAGAGTTCAAATCACAAATAAGTCAGTATTTGTGACTTGAACTTTGACCTGATATCCTGAAATTTTGGATTCTTTCTTTTGACATAGCAAGATGTTTTTTACAATTTTTAAAGGAAAAGCCAAGAGGAGTCACAGGGGCACTTTTAAATTTCTGGCCGATTTGAGCCCGAATGACCCATAGGCCTAACTAGATAACGTTGCTAAGAATGTGACGCAGTAGCGCATTGAAGGGGTGGAAGCACGTATGTGCATGAGAAAGCATTATGGAAGATGCTCCTTTCTCAACCATCCTCGCTTAACGTCGAGCCAAATTTGCTTTTCACTGCTATAGTGCCAAGAATATCTGATGTTCTTTGTATGAGACGTCCCGCACGTAGTTATGATGATTGTGTGGCAAAGGACATAAATCAGCAGACAACACTCAAGACTCTTAGCGACGCATTATGCACTCTTTCGCTATTGCCTTAGCGTAAAGGGGAAATGGGATGTTGTCATATCAAACCAATTTGTGGGCATATTACAGGCATGTGTCACATAAAAATTGAAATTGTGGATAGAGTTTAAGGTCAATAAAAAAATAAAAAAAACAAAAAAAAAACAGCTCAATTGTATAATCATTGACTTACCGCTGATGCTGCTTCAGTGTAATCCCATTCCATTGTATCAGAAACGAAGCCGCAGATATCGTACGGACTTTCATAATTAACATCAATCACCCATAAGGCATTCACAAAGTCCCGTAGTATTTCATCCGGAATGTCTTGCTCGTAGTGATAGTAGTCATGTTCGTGGTATCCGTCGTAGTCATAATGGTGCTGACGTCCTTCGTTAAATTCGTCGACAAGTTCAACGCAGGCGTTATGAAACTCAATCATATCATCTTCTCTAATACCTTCACAGAGTGCTGGAAGCTTGTTATCGTCCATGTATTGAAACCCTGGCACAAGGTAGCTGCATAGTGCGTTCATCGATTCCGAAGCCAACTCGTCCCGCTTCATTACGCCGAAAATGCCGAGAATCTGTTTAAAATTCAGGTAGTTTAAAAATAAAAATTCGAGGCCAAATGAACTCATTGAATCTGTATCTGCAAATACGGCCTCGCTGTAGTCTAACGGGGACAGCGTTGGGTTCATTGCTGTGGCTACCATCTCGCATAGTGCTCCGGGATCACTGATGCCAGTCCACTCCTCTAAATAAAGCGGGTAGTCTGCTTCTTCGAAGGCTTCGATGAAATCCTCACAAATCCGAGCGTCATAAAGGATGTCATAAAATGTCCTAACCATGCGCTCAATTGTGTCAACTCGTAGACTTCCGTTGCCAGCGTCAGAATATGAAGAAGAATAGTATCCAGTGGCATTGACTACCACGGAACAGAACTGGTAAGAGTCGTCGTAACGGCTTAAGAAAGTAAAAGCTACCCTTACATACTCCAGGACGTCGAGCATTTCACCATCCTCAGAATGTGCTTCACTCGGGCTCGGCTGATGAGTCGGCTCCTCACAGTCTTCGCAATCTATGAAGTTCATGTATTCCACGCAATCACTAGCACGAGTGTACATCATATTCTCAAAAAACCTCTCCAATACGTCTTTAAACTGTAAGTATAAAATGTATCGGCGATTATAATGTTTGATTTTAGAAAAGTAATTAAATAAGTCTTGACTGTGTTGTTTATGTCTAGTTGAATAAAATACATGTTTATAAAAAATATGTATGTGAATTTTAGTACTACGGAACAACGGGATTTTTAAATCAGCATTGTAAGTCAGTTGCTGCGTTGTAATTATTACTGTATATAAATCAGGCGCGGATCCAGAGATTACCCTGACTATCGCTCAGATGGGATCGCAGGGTCTCATTCGAAAGACGGTGCGCTATCATAACTTGTATTTCAGCCCTCCAGCTGAAACACGACAACAGTGATGGTTCTTAATAATTAGTAAAATCAAAAACGCAACAATGGTCATGTACAATAACAGCTTTTGGAAGCAAATCGGGGTAGGCATATTTCAAAGTGATTAAAATCTAAACGGTACTGGGTTTGGTGTACAGGAGCTCGTGTATCGTATACGTCATTCCATTCATAGAAGAAGCCTTTACTTTTATATAGCCGGAATGTATCGACCTAGCTAGGCCTACTATGGTTAATGACATGTACGCTTTCACCATTAAAGGCTTCTTCTATGAATGGAATTACCTTTACGAAGCACAAGCTCCTGTAGACCAAACCCAGTACCTTTTTTCGATTTTAATCCTGCTGGGAAATTTTCTCATGATGCATTAAGAACACCGATTTACTCATAACTCTAGTGGACGTCATCACTCAGCTATTGACGTTTTATTATATCATATTATGTATATATACAACTGTTTGAAGTTGAAGTGTTTTTGTAGAGTTTTATTTTTGTTTCGCTTTAATTTTATTTAAACTTCATGTTCAGTACGTCTAATTTTGTTATACCTAAACAATAATTATCTCAGGCTATACTATAAAGCCTATATTATATAACAGGTATACAATGTTAGAGTTTGTGCAAAATTTTCATTCTTGTATCAGGGAACATCGAGAGTTTAGTATGTAGTATAGTTAATTGTTAGTATTGTATGTAAACTTTTTTGTTTGTTTTGTATAAGAATGCACGCATTAATGCAGGTACATATACAAATTATGTTACAGTTTGTGCAAGATTGTCATCCTTGTAGTTATGTAGAATAGTTAATTGTTTGTATTGTATGTACAATTGGTGTTTGTTTTGTATAAGGATGCACCATCAATGTAAGCCTATGTGTGCCCCTGATTCAAAAGTTATTTCCAATAAATTTATTTGATTTGATTAGTATCCGGCGAAACATATCATCATAATGATCTATCTAGTGTTTTACATAATATGCATGGACTCCCTGTGTTTTTGTTGTTGTTAATGGACCGGTGTAGTTGTTTTGCCTCCATATAAATTTACAATGAAATATGTAAATGCATTACCGTAAATCCTATGTCCTGGTTATCCCATTGGAGTATATCCTCAAAATAGTAACAGACATCTGAAGAGTCATACGTGTTATAAACATGCGACACTGATTGAAACGCATACTCGAAGTCATTATAAATTTGATGCAAAACAATCTCATTTCTGTCTTCACCATAGTAGTACCATGGTTCCCAAGGACCATAAGTCCAACTATCATGCCACGTACTTCCCCAGTAATAGGATCCATTTTGCATGTAGCTGTAGGTATGGTTTTGGTGTCCCCAGTAGCCATGATGTCCCCAAGGATCATAGTGGGATCCATATTCCATGTAGCTGTAGGTATGGTTTTGGTGTCCCCAGTAGCCATGATGTCCCCAAGAGTCATAGTGGGATCCATGTTGCATATAGCTATAGCTATGGTTTTCGTGTCCCCAGTAGCCATTATGTCTCCAATAGTCATAGTGGGATCCATGTTGCATGTAGCTATAGTTATGGCTTTGATTATGATGCCCATGATGTCCCCAAGAGTCATAGTGGGATCCATGTGGCATGTAGCTATAGCTATGGTTTTCGTGTCCCCAGTAGCCATTATGTCCCCAATAGTCATAGTGGGATCCATGTTGCATGTAGCTATAGTTATGGCTTTGATTATGATGCCCATGATGTCCCCAAGGGCCATAATGTTCCCAATGATTATAGTGTCCCCAATAGTCTGATTCAAACAACCATTCACCAGGATCGAAGTCTGAAAAGAAGTAGTCAAGGAATTCTGGTTCCCACCATTCGAAGCCAAATGAATGGCATGTGTTCATAAATGCGTCAAATTCGTCTCCTTGGATACTTCTACACATTGACGCTAGACGCTTTTCAACCATGTAAGTTGGAAAGTAATTGCAGGCGTTTTGAACAGCTTCAAAAATGCTATGCGAATAGTACATTTGACCAAGCAGTGGGACCCATACTTCGAGAGGCACGTGCGGTAGACTGTCAAAAAAAGATGTTCCACCCCAGACAAATTCCGGCACACCTTCTTCAGATGACCAGTTTCCATTAAAGCCGGACATCATGGGAGAAGGTGTTTGCTCAGTGGCGAACGAGTCATGTATAATTTTACATAGCTCCTGTGAATATGTATCGTTCATATTGGTAATGGCTCGTCGTAGAAGACCGCTGCAGTACAATGAGTCATTTAAAACACGGTAGAACTGTGGTACTAGTATCTCTTCAATCAAGTTAGTTACATTGTCATTGCCCTCAATGGTCGGGTAGCCCACTACATGGTCACATAATTGATCCGTTGCATTGAATCCAGCAAGGTATGCGAAAACATTTACAACGACTGATCCAATGCCATGATGAATTTCTGTTTCTGTCCCGTAGTCATAGTTAGAAGATAAGCCTAAATCGTTCCAACTTCCATCTGGAAATGTGACCGAAGGTGAAGGACTTACGGTATTTCCGGCATTTATCTCCACATCCCAATCTGCAGTCCATTCCCAGTCTGCACTCCATTCCGAGTCTGCAATCCATTCATCGAAATGTCCAAATTTGTGGGTCAAGAATTCCATAGCCAACATAACCTGACGAGATACATCACCGGCTTCTCTTAAATTATGGCCGCGGTTGAAGAACCCATGCAATTCGCTGTAGCACATGTCGCCGTGGCAGGTGGCATTCATATGATGTGCAACGCACCCATTCCAGACCCAGTTGGCAAAATAATGGAAGTATTCAACCACAATATCGTCAAAAACAGAAGTGGCGGGTTGAGTTTCTTCTGTGATAACGTTCCAGGCATCGTGACATGTAATATTGATATTGGATGAGTTTAATCCTAGTGCTTCAGCTATCGGGTTCTCGATATCTGGATAATGACTCTCCCCGTTGTAGTAAGCGTCTTCATGGTCAGATCTGTATCCCATATCGCCCCAGGAGCCATACCCTACTGTCGGCATACCGCCACTAACTCTATCTCCGGGATGGGACCTCTTCTTTCTCTCATGATAGGATGAGTGTCCATAGTCGATAGAGTAATCGTTACTTAGTCCTCCCACTAGCATTTCGCATACCAAGTCCACTCCTTCGATCGGCATGTCTTTGCTCACAGCATCTTTGATGGTTAGGCAGACGAGACGGACCATTTCTCCATCCATGCCGAGGAATCTATGGACTTGGCGCCCGGCGTCTGAGCAGAAGACATCCATGACATGACGTAGGTCCGGAGAGTTATACATTTTTCCCAACATGTTCAACGCATCAGTAAAAGTGAATCCCGGAATAATCTCACCTGGTTCTTCATACAGTTCCATTTGGTCATTCCAATCAGCCGTCCATTTTTCGTAGGAAGACCAACTAGCCCCAGTAAAATCAAAGTTTGGCCAAGGAAATTCGTCTTCACGAATTTCAGTGTCTTCGGCTCTTCTAGTGCGTTCTTTCTGGATCGCCTTAGCGTGACATGTCAATAATAAACAGCAGCTCAAGAATATACATTGGTATATTAAGAACCGTATCAGTGCCATTTTAATTTCGACCAGATTAACCAGTTGACTTCCTTATGGGTTATGTTGTACTTTAGACGCACAATAAATTCCACGGTGAAAGTGGGGAACTCGTGGCCGACATCTTTTTCATGCAAAAGCAACAGTCGTTTGAGTTCTACAAAGTTCTCATATAAAGATGTCAATATGCTATCGATTACAAGCTAAATTCTTCTTTATCTGCTCCGTGTTCTGAGATCGCATTAGCATATTGCATATTATCATACTGTATTGTGTTCGATTTAGTAATATTAATGATCAAATTTGGGTGACTACTATTGTACACGAACACGATAATCACAAAGTGCGTGATGCAGCAATATCTTCTTTGCATCCAATCACGGTGCAATACGCTGAATAATACAATAATACAATCGATTCTGTTCCTTGGCAGCGAATAAACAGTATAAGTTTAGTTCAACCAGCTCTTAATCAATATTAATGCTGTAGAGGTTTCATTAGCATAACATTCTAATGACCAGTAAGTTAAATCAAATAAAATACGTTTGTAGGAATATATATCAGAAAATTATTCATCAGAAAAGGCACGCGCCACGCAATTATTCGACATATTATTATTAGGCTAGTAATTTTTTATTGGCAGGTGGTGTTCAGTTCCGTTATATTCAAGCGTCACTTTAACTCATAATTGATATTGTTATATTAACGCCATCATCTCTACCGCCACTACATCTTTGAATATACTATCGAAGAAACGGTGTAGATCCGTAACCACACTCATCTTCGATGGGCTGCACTTAAATATAGCCTCAGTGAGGAAATTATATTTATACTTTTTACATATTAGTAGACTCTAGAATCGATTAAAGGTTCACCTCACATGTTCCAATAAGATTAATGATCTTACAGCGCTGTGAAACACCAGTAAAGGGCGCATTATAAATGCAAATTTGTTTAATTATATAAAAGATTATTAATTTGTTTTATATATTAAAGATAACAGTTAAACTAGACTGTACATTGTGTAATAAAATGCCTCCGACAGGATTCGAACCTGTGACCTCTCGCTGTCAAGGCGAATTTCATACCGTAACCATTAGAACACAGAGGCTTCATGGTTGAGCTGATTCAAATAACCGGCCGTCAGCTACATTGTACAGGTATTACACAATAATGGTGCACCTAAAGTGCGGCTGGAAATAAATAATAACATAAATCAAGATAGCCGTTAACACTGTTAAACTTTATAGGTAAATACAGTCTTCGAATAAAGGACATGATGGTACATTGTAGCATATCTCTCATCGAATGTTGTCCTGTTGTTATCCCTCTCGAGGGAGGACAATGTTGTCCTGTTGTCAACCCTCTCGTGAGAGGCCGCAGATTAGAATACAATCGGAGGTATTTTATTACACAAAAATCGTACAAGAAACCTAACAATTATTAAATACTTTAGAATCAAAATGATTTGTATACAAAACGTACAAATACATGAAATCTAAAATCGTTAGTAGCAGCGAACGAAGCCTCGTCATGGAAACGAATACAGTGACAAAACAGCAGAACATGCAGCTGTATGATAATTGTATTTAATATAACTGCAATCAATTACGGTGCGTTTAGAGAATTAATAAAACATGAATCGTGATTAATCATGGTAATTATGTTTTGTGTAAGACATGCAGCAGTAACATTAAGATATATTTTTTTTTATCGAATACATTATTATACAATAAATCTTCTCCTTTGTACTTGTAAATCACTATCTTTTAATCATTAGGTTTCCATTAATTTGAAAAAAAAAATGAAATACTAAAAGGAGATAAAAAGTTATTCAAAATAAAGTTCTGCTAACACCCGCAGTAGGCCCTAATGATTTAAACACATATTGTGATTGGCTGAGTAATATTTCGTGACGTACACAAACATGATCTGAATAGGCATACCTAAGTATATTTATAATATATCCGTGATGGCAATTCGTCGCCATATTGAAAACTATATACTGGTGAATATAATGTATAATGAATTTTACAATATATATATATATATATATATTGTAAAATCTCTTCCAGACAGTGTGGTGGGGAATATTGCTATAGTGGCACTCCAGAACTTCAAGTGCAGAACACAGAAACACTTACAGTACCTCAAACCTCACATCTAAGATAAAAATTAAAATATATAAAAAATTAAAAATAAATAAACGAAAAAAAGCTAAAAACTAAGCTTTCTAATAACCTCTCTTTTTTCCTTGTTTACTTTCTAAATTGTTTTTTTATTTTTCAGTTTTCTTTCGGTTGCAGCGAACCATTCCCAGGTAACAAGCCCATAAGGGACCCATATGGTGCCCATATGCAGATCTATATGGGTACCATATGTGCAATCCTTGAGGAAACCTCCGGATTCTGCACCCAAGTTCCATGTGGGACCCATATGATTTAGCCCACATAGCCCAGATACTGTCTCTTATACACATCTAGATGTGTATAAGAGACAGCCTCCGGATTCTGCACCCAAGATCCATGTGGGGCCCATCTGATTTAGCCCATAGCCCAGATATAACCCATTTGGGGCCCACATGGAACCCACATTAAATTGTATGTGGGTGGCATATAGGTTTCCCATATGGGACCTATATTTTCTGACCCATATGGGTACCATATGTGCTATCCTTGAGGAAACCTCCGGATTCTGCACCCAAGATCAATGTGGGGCCCATCTGATTTAGCCCATAGCCCAGATATAACCCTTTTGGGGCCCATATGTAACCCACATGCATTTTTACATGGGTGGTATATGGGTTTCCCATATGGGACCTATATTTTCCCGACCCATATGGTTAACATATGGGCATCTAGGGCTATCCTTGAGGAAACCTCCGGATTCTGCACCCAAGATCCATGTGGGGCCCATCTGATTTAGCCCATAGCCCAGATATAACCCATTTGGGGCCCATATGGAACCCACATGCAATTTTACATGGGTGGTATATGGGTTTCCCATATGGGATCTATATTTCCCGACCCATATGGGTAACATATGGGCTATCCTTGAGGAAACCTCCAAATTCTGCACCCAAGCCCCATGTGGGGCCCACATCTTTCAGAGAACCCCTATGGGGCCCACATGGTACCCTTATATATTTGTACATGGATGGCATATGGGATTCTCACATGGTACCCATATGCAATTGCACATGGGTGGTATATGGGTCCCATTATTTTCTGGCCCATATGGATGTAATATGGGTCTGCCCATATGGGGCCCCTCGTATTCTCCACCAAAGCCCCATGTGGGACAAACATGGTACCC